GTGATAGTATATCAAAGTCAAAATATAAATAGGTAACTACTTAAGTAATCATGAAGTACATAAGCATTATGATAATAAATTAAAATTAAAATATAAGTAAGTAACTAATTTTGGAGTTTAACTTTTAGTCCACAACCTTAGGTTATAATACTCTTTAAAGTTGTGGTGGCGCCCAGGCCATAATGTAAGTATGAGAAATACAGACACGAGAGCTGCCGGAGCTATATGCTATCCTATCCCAAGTTGGTTATAAGTTATAAAAATATGTCAGTGCAAATCAAATATAGCAAAATAAAATGATTATTAATAATAATGAAAAACTATAAAACAACTTCATATCAATATCCCTAGCTAACCATTATTTGCCAATCTAAATTGGTTAAATGGTAATTATTGGCAATTTGGTGCGCCTGTCAAAGCAAAGCTGTATCCACCGACCTTACCAGAAACGGTCAACACAGTTTCCTAACTAAATAACTCATTTGATATGCAGAACTATTTTGTGACTGTGGCTTTTGATCGTCTTAATAAAATTTGGACCTCTACGTTGTGTTTACTTACTTTTTTTATTAAATACATTGCTTTAAGAATCATACTTGGTAGAATTAGGTAGACAAAAAAATAAAATACAGTGTTTAGTTTACCCCAATTTAATTTACTTTACAAAAAAAACAAGGGGTGGCTCTTAGGGAGATACGACCAGGGAAAAAGAGCTTGAGAAAAAACCCTGTTCGGCTATGAAGTAGCAAAGTATTACACGATTAGGCATTGTTTCTTTAAAAGTTTATGCAAATCAATGGAATGACACGACGCTCTTCACGCTATCTACCCCCTACAGGTTCAAAAATAGGAAAAACGTTGTTAGTTTAACAGGGCAGTTAACTGTTAGTCTGTCAACGTTAACGTTGCCCTGTGGAGAACGAGGTCCATACTGGAAGCAACTCGCTTCGAAGGTTCGGGATAAAAGTTGCGATGCCACCTAGAGAACCTAGGTGACCAGTTATCCCTCACGGAGGGGAGCATTTTAGTATCTACTGCAAACTACGTATTAAAGAAAAAGGAGCATTCAAAGTTTAAAATTAACGGTCACTACTCCCTTTTAAGCAACGAAACGTCTTGTATTACACTGATATTTGTTTTAAAATTACCACAAAAATGCATAATCCTGTTGGGGAAGGTCTAAACATTTGAGTTACAGGGACAGTGTACAACTAAATTAAGCCTTAGACAATAAAAGAAATATAAATTTTCACATTTAACAGTAAACTTAAAAGTCAAAAACATTTTATAAAAATAGCTAAAACAAAAGGTGTTAATATCGGGTAAAATTCACTAAACGTAGTAGTGCAAAATAACTAATGATCAGTTTATTTTAATCTAAATCGTTCTAGGTTTAGTGGACTTTACTACATAATTGGGCTACTAAAATTAAGAACTATCCTGGGAGAATACACAACAACCCAAATAGCACACAACGCCTTGAAGATGTCTTTTGTATGTCTGTATTATGCCTGAACGTCTGAAGATCTAAAAAAGACGTCTAAAAGATGTCTTTTGATAGACGTCTTAAAGATATCTTTATTTAATGTCCTAAAGACATCTTATAAACGCCTGATAACGCCGCTTATTTTTTTTTCATTTTTTTGGTAAAATATCAACCACTTAAGACAGCAAACAAAGTCTTGAAGATCTAAAGATCTAAAAAAGACGTCTGAAAGACGTCTTTTGATAGACGTCTTAAAGATATCTTTATTTAATGTTCTCATGACATCTTATAAATGCCTGATACCGCGGTTTTTTTTTTATTTTTTTGATAAAATAGTAAATCGTCACCTGAGAATTATAGTGTTCTATCTGAATTTTCTTTTTTTTATTCAGGTTAGTCTTGTTTTAAGTATTAAAGATGCATATTGTTCTATCTATATATAATTGGGGTAAAAATTGTACAGTTTAAGCCTTAAACTTTACAATTTCTACCCCAATTATATATAGATAGATCAATATCAACTTTAAGACTTAAAATAAGACTAACCTGAATAAAAAAAAGAAAATGTAGATAGAACACTATAATTCTCAGGTGACGAAATGTTGACAAATCAAAATCGAAATTATATCCCATAATCAGCGACTTCATTGTAATAAAAATAACTTTAATGTAGGATTTTGAGTTTTGACAACGATTATGGGTAGGGTAACTGAATAAATATATATCTGACATTTTTGTTGATTGGTTATTTTTCCTACAATTAATAATATCCATTTTATAATAAACCATTATAAACTAACATGTTTTTTAAAAATTAAGTATTAAGACAATATAACCTTAAAATAACCCAACGAACGTTTTTAAATCAAATTACCCGCACATTTCCCATAATGCAATGAAATCATAAGTCACGCCATGAGATCCTTATGCTTTCCTTTTCTATTTCACCAAGCGCTGATATGTCTGCCTCTTTTCAATTCTTAAATAACTCGTACCCACAATCCAATGTGGATTGTGCTCGTAGTACGAGCCTTGTACCTAACTATAAATGCAGATTGCAAACATCAGACGCCATTTTTGCCGCTTACGTCAAATTTGGTTAAATAGCTAATCGTGGCGGTTTTTCGTTCTCGTTCGACGTTTAACTTAAGTGACAAGTAAAAGCAGTGTGCAGTGTTGTAACAACACTGTTTTTGGATTGTTTTTGTGAATTTGCTGTGGTTTAATATACTCAAGAGGGAAAATTATTCAGGTAATTTTAAAAATTTTTCTTGTGTGCTTAAAATGAAGCGTACATCTCTCAATAAATATTATATGCGTGCAAAGAGGGCCGCCAATTTAAAAAGACCCTCACTAGAAGATATAGAAAATCATGTTTTACATTCTCCCGCCATAGTGTCTAACGGTGAGTGCTGCACTTTCACTATACCTAGTGACTCGCCGTCTGATGTTGAGCAGGATTCTTCCAACATTTCTATTTCAAATATCGAAGGAACCTCGAAAGGTCTAGGAAAAGACACCAAAGAGGTGGAAGTTGCCATACAGGCTTGGTTAATAAGGGCTTCAGACAGAAGGCTTCTTCTTGCCAAGAAGTTTTGACTCGATTTAGGCAGAAATAAATATGTAATAATTTAATTTTTGTTTTATTTTAAATAGAAGTACCTATACGTTATTTTTAGAAGTTAAAAAGCATTATTAGCTAGATTTTAATTACTTAATAGTATTAAGTTAATACATTAGAAACGTTTTGGCGATGTAGCAATGCATAACCAAAACGTTTTCAATAGGTAGTCTTTAACATCTTAAAGACGTCTTAACGACGTTTAGCCACGACTTAATAATGCCGTTAAAAAGACATCTTAAAGACGGTGTGTTTTGTAACATTAGATATCTTAAAGACGTCTTAAAGATGACTTACGTCGTAAACTGGACGTCTTAAAGATGTCATGAACGTCCGAGTCCGACATCTTTAAGATATCTTTAAGATGTCTCTGTGCTATCTGGGAACAACAACAACACTTGTAACAATTATTTAAACAGAACAGAACAATAAATTTCGCTTTAGTAAAAATGTATAAGAGCGATGTGTTCGATATAATCTTCAAACGCTTTCTGCCTCTTTCTTTGCTTCCCTTCCCAAGTTTCAATGTTGTTTTCGCCTCATCTGGTCACCAGATTTTTCCCCGTTTCAGGCAAAATTTCGGTCTTCCACGAAAACTTGTAATTTCTTTACCCAAACGTCCGTTTTCACCTCTTTTGCAAAGCTTTTTACATTTTACAACACAATTTAGAAATTCCAAACTTATTCAAAAATAAATTTGTAAAACGTATAAAAGTACTGAACCATTACAATAATTTATGATATTTGTGACCTTAGATTATAATAATTATTTATAAAAAAGACATACTTCTTTAAATAAACAAAACTTTCACAAAAACTGAATACCTATATATAAATTCAATGGATTATTGAAGAGTTAAATTCCCTCCCTTACAACATTTCTTCAAACAGCAAAATATAACTGTCCTTAATCTACCGTCCTTTTAACACGGTCCTTTTATGTTTATTTTTAAGACTAGGAACTGTACCACAGCTTATTTGGTCTTTCTGTAACGAACCCTTAAGTGGTCGTCCATGCGGCCGACGCGTCAATAGTCCGTCGCGACGGACTATTGACAGCGGACCGACGTTGTATGCCACCAATGGGCTGATATCGGCATACGATGAACAACGGCGGGCTATAGTCCGTCGGCCGCCTGTTGGCCGCTGTCTCCTATTGATGCAGGGCCGACGTCGTTTGTCACCGGTGGGCCAACGTTGGCAAGATCATTTATCGACCATCGGCCGCCATGCGGCCGACGGACAATTGTTTGTCGGGTACATAAAAAATAAAAAATAAAATTAAAATAAATAAACATTGTCAAAAAATATACAATACAAGTCGTCACCCTAATATAACAAGGTTGTATGTTAAAAAAAACGAAAAATTTAAGTCTGTTTCTACAGGATTATACGTGGCCTACGCTTCACATCCCACTTAAAAATAATTCTATAGAATGTATATTCTATGTATACATATATATATAAAATTATTTTCAAGTTGTATGTCAAGGGTGGATTACATAAAACCTTGTAGAAGTATAAAATTAATTTTTTCTTTTTTTTAACATACAACCTTGTTATATTAGGGTGACGAAGTGTAAACGTCAACGTAACATGTCAATGGTTAATAATGTTAACAATGTTATTATGTTAATTTGTCGGAACATATTTCATGTCCACCACTGCGTACTTTATCAATAAAATTATTAATTTCTTGATTTTGACTAAGTGAGTTTTTAATATTTTAAAACGTTGATCCTAAAGCAAGCATATTCTGTAAGCGGAAGGATAAAACTAAACCACTGTTAATAATTCATGGCGCTCAAAATTTAGTACATTTTATTTGCACCCACCCCATAAATCAAAATATTCACTTTTAAATACTTTGTTAAAATTTAAAAATGCGTAAACAAATAAAAAAGGTTTTTTCTAAATAAAATCTATTAGGCTAAAAAATTAAATAAAACTTAACAAAAATATACAATTACTTTTTATGTATTTTGTGATGAAATATGGATTTTAGAATTATAAATTATTCTGCATAATCCTTTTCATTGACTTCTACTCCTTTATACACCATATGAAATCCTTTACCTCCAGTTGACAGATCAGATTGAAATCTTACCGTTAATTCATCTCCATATGATATGAATTTTTGTGGAATCTGAAATCAAAAATAACATATATAACTATAACATTTTGTATGAATAAAAAAATGAATTATTACCTTCTTTCCGCAAAATTTCTTATAAAGTGGATTTAACTCAGAATCATCATAAATTTCCACGTAATCAAAATCACAAGTGGACTGTTGTTCCTCCAAGCCAAAGTCAATAAATGCTATTTCAGTTGAATAACCTTTTAGTGCAATTATCTTCCATTCGCAAGCAATATTTCTACCGTAGTCCTTAACCCCGTATTTAACGTGTGAATAGATATTTTTTGTATCCATTGTGGACTGCAAGTATCCACCACATAGAGTCCCGTGCGTTCCCCAAAATCCCCTTCCTTGGAAAGATCTATCCGATATAAATATCATCGACAACTCATTTTCTGAAGAAGTGATCATGGGTGGATCTCTAAGTCCACAATATATACCCAAAGTGTTGTGTCCAACCTTTCCACCGTCAAAAAATTCAACATAATCATAGGCGCATTGCGGGTTAGGTTCTACATAAAATGCACCAAACATAAGCCTTACCCTATGCCCCGGTTTGGTTTGAAAATGCCAAAAGCATTTTTGTCTGCCAGGATAGTGGTTTGGATAGTTTGGACTTTGAAATTTACCTGTATGACTATTTATTTCATGTGTACATAGGTCTTCTTTGCAATCCTTTCCGTTTTCGTGCAGGCGGTAACCTACCCTACAGGTGCAGTTACTGGATATAAAAGTTTGGATGCAGTTATGTTGACAGCCCCCATTGTTCACTGAACATTTATTAAAATTCACATAAAAAACAGCTGCAAATCCACTCTTTTGTATATTATTATCCGACTTGAACCTAACTCTTAAAACGTTTTCCTCAGAAACTATAACGCCCGGCGACTTGCTTCCACAGAACACCCCGTGTTTTTTTTTCGTGTTATTTGCCAGCGAACTCGTTATTTCCAAACGGTCGTATTCGCATTCCTGAAAATCTACGTGATTTCCTTCGATGTCGAAATGTGTAAAATTTAAGAAAATCGTGTGGTTCACTTGAGCTCTAATTTCCCATAAACACGACTTGTTGGCAGGATACAGTTCAGGGAAGAAGGGAGAAGTTAGTGTGCCGTTTTCAGATTGAATCAGCCCTCCACAAGTGGCTAAAAATAGAAATAAGTCATATAAATATCATATAAATATTATTGTTTTAACAAGAACTTTAGGTAAGAGAAGAACTTTTCATTTCCTAAGTTATGTTTGGATAACAAGGAAACCTAATTTTAAAAATTGAAATATTATTTTATAGAATGTATAATACAAATTTTACCAAAATTCGTAAGTAACTAAAAAATTAAAATGCCTTATAGAAATTAAGGAATTATTTCAATAACACAATGAGTTTTGTGAGATATAGAAAAAATCTATTTATCGTAAGTTGCTTTCCAATAAAATAATAATTTTGGCCATACAAAAACCGCAAAAAATGCTCTTTCTTGTCTTTACAATACGGTAGTTTCAAACAGATAAAACATTTTTACACGGAAATATCAACGTTGTTCCAGAAACTAATAAATCCATCCAGACAAATAACATCCTTTCACCTAAAGGTGTATGTATACATACATATTTAAAGTATTATTTACCTATTGCTAAATATATAAATTTTAAAACTTGTTTTTATTAAGATGCTACCTGTCGATTAACATTCAAACAGACATTTGCCAACAAAATCGTTCAATATGTCAGTCTGTGATTAATAATCAACCTTAAATAATCACTGATTATTTAAGGTTGATTTTTAGGTTTCATACCGCATTATATAATATTATATTATACATATAATATTATATTATTAAAATATTTTATCTTTAATCGGACTATAATTGTAATTGTTTATGGACTAGGCACTTATATTTAGACCAATCGCGTTAGGTTATTTATAACCCACTCTCTAAAAATGAATAAAAATTTAATTGTAAGTCATTTTCGACTAATCATCATGACAAAAAAGCATTTACTAATAATTATTCAAATTCTACTTAATAAAATAGTCAAATTAGAGGATTTAAATTTAAAAAAAGTAATGACGGTTTTGGGGTGTAAAGTCATATATTTCTATATAAATATTGTTAATAATATTATAAAGGAATAATTTTTTTGTGCTGCTAATTTGAGCCAATCTTTTTGAATCGTTATGTTTGCTTTATGAGCCATTAAATTTTAACGCCAACAATAGTTAGTAGCTAAATAAATTAGTTAATTTTTACTTTTAAAACAGTCAAAGTTGGTGACCACCTATAGTCTTAAATTAGTCACACTTTAACTATTTAAATAGTAAAAAGTAACTATTTATTTAAAAGTAAAAATATATATTTTATTTGTAAACTATGCTGGTACTAATTCAAATAGTGGAATTTCGAATATTTCATTTTAAGAAAGTAGGCTGTATTATTTACAACTGTACCAATCAAAATTTGACTTCTCAGATCGATCAAACCTTACTTTCTACTTTTAATAATTGTTAGTTTTATATAATATATTATAGTTTAACTAATAAAATTTTGCATTTAAGATAATCTTTTGTATGCCATTCGGCCAAGAAGTGTATTTTTGCGCTTCGCTTAATTCAAACTTTGAGCTTAGTCACTCCCCCAATATTTTTTTTCCATTTCTGTGTTTTCAGGTCCTATATCATAACGTTTTTATTTATGATATAGTACCTGAAAACACAGAAATGGAGAAAAAATATTTTTTTTTGTATTTTATGTCGCCGTTAAACTTCCTGTATTTTTTTATTGAATTTTTTACCTTTGCATCTTTTTTCTGTTACATCGTATTCGAAACCCAATTTGCACTTGCACTGATACGATCCGACGTAGTTGAGGCACTCGTGTTCACATCCGTGATTTTCGCTGGCGCACTCGTCAATTTCCTTAACAATTGTCGCGGAAAATCCTCCTTTTTGGATGCTTTCGTCAGTTTCAAACCTTACATATAAAGTGTTTGATGTCGATATGATGTCGGTCGGTGTGCGAGATCCGCACAGCGTTTTTATTAAGGGGTCGTTCTCTGTGTACCCGTCTCGGATAGTCAGGCGGTCGTACATGCAGACGTCGTGGTTCTCGATGTCAAAGGTTTTTATTTTAATGGCCACTTGGTAGGTTTCTGGAACTTTTATCCGCCAAATGCAGGTTTTGTTAGCTGGGTAGTCTTCGGGATAATTCGGAGACTCTAGGTTACCCTGGGAGTCGATGAAAAGATCCCCACCACAAACGACTAAAATAGAAACAAAACTATTTTAAAAAAGTTTTAAACCATTTAGTACAATACATAAACCTTATATATCAGGATAAAGGAAAACAAAGCTATGATCTTGATCAACAAGAAGCTTGTGACGTCACCTTGTGATTATTTTATTTATATTTTGTTAGCCGTTAAAGTTCTATTCAAATAGGCAAATGATTTACTTATTTAACGAACAGTTTAAATTTGTTTGCAAATCTCAAAGAGCAGAATATAAAAAGCAAATTGGAACTTTGTATGTAAGATAATTTAATATAATAATGCTTTTGTATGTTGATAGAGATTATGAAAAAACTCCAAAATAGTAAAAAAAAGTCCAAGCAAAAGTAAATATCGCTAGGAATAACGCAAGAAGTGTATAGTTTAAGTAAACTTAGACCCGTAAAAAAGTTGTTACTCCAAATAAGGCAAAAATTTTGTAGTAGACCAAAAGGCAAAATTATATTTAAAGCTTTATTTAAAAAACCCTTCAAGGTAAAAAATTGTTTTACGATTTAATTTAAAAATCGTTTTTAATGTAAAATTGTTTTCATTACCTTCAAATTTTCCTGCAAATCCTTTAAATCCCTCAGGATTCCTAGAAACGTATCTTATCCACATTCTGTTAGACTCCGTTGCAATAATATTTCTAAAATCCCCGTTAGTGCATATCTTCCTTATAAGTGGCGATTTATGCCAGTAACCATCACGTATTTCAATATAGTTTGTGTCGCAATTTTCGTTCTTTTTTATATCCACATCGGTTATGTTTAAAAGTATTCTGTCTCCATAGGTTGCTGTAATGCGCCATTCGCACATTATTCCTTCTGGTGGCGGTTTTTTATTAATGTATACCATTGGAGAAAACTCCCCTGAGTTTGCTTGGAAAGTTTTTCCACAAGCTAAAATCATAAATTATTTCAAATTTATATTACCTAAGCTAAAATAAGGAGCTTTAGTTTTTAGTTTATTTAAAAATAAATAAATTTAAATAAAAAGTTAATTTTAAGGTTGGCATAATTTTATTTATGCAATAACTTTAAGTTAATGTTCATATAACAGTATTAGAAAAAGTTATAGTCATGGAATAGAAATTATAAAAGTGATATGAACATTGGGTTTTGAGTTTAGCATGGTATTATATAGTTTAATATAATTAGTTAAGTTCATTGTGGTGTTTAATAAAATAGCTTTTTCACTACTGATTCAGTAGCTGTAAAGCTTTAAATGCATTTATCTTGTTTTATAAAAAGATCGATTATGATTGATTAATTAATTATATAAAAGTCTTAAATAACATTTTTACTGGTAAGATATATACGAAATAGACTATTAAATAAAAAAAACTATATTACAACGTAAAAGAAAATGTTAATTATGGTTTAATAGTAGAATAGTAGAAATCACATCACAAGGGATAAAAAGCAAAAGGCCTATATTTTAACAATAATTTTATAGCAGATTTTAGTATCCCAGATTGCTTTTTAAATAATTACTATTATTAAAATTTTGAATTTTAAATTATAAAATTATAATTATAATTAAATTATAAAATTATAATTATAATTAAATTATAAAATTATAATTATAATTAAATTATAGGACATTAAAGCAAACTAACAAAAGTTGACATAAGGTTAAAACTGTGCCATTTTCAAAATTAACAACTATTAGGTTTAACTTTAATTATAACTTCGTATGTACACATAAAAATGATAAAATGGATTTTAAATATATGAGAAATATTAATATAAAAGAAATAAACTAAATATTTACCTGGGCATTTGTAGAGTATGTTTGCTTGTCTGATATCTCCATCACTCAGTCGCAATCTCTGACCAATGATTGGCGGTGTCTCCCCTTTGTAATTTATCGGAACAATCGTATCCAAAAAATTTCCTTTTGCAAACGCATTATTTGCGTAATGCATAATGGACTCGTAGTCGTAGGGAAGTCCCATTGAGCTTACATCGGATTCTGGGAGCTTGTTAAAGTTATTTTCGTGACCTTAAAGATGACATGAAATAGTATATTATTATACGATAGATAATGCAGGCTATTATTCAAAAGGAAATCATCTGAGTAAATAATGCGCATTATTTTGAGTGCAGTACTATGCTTTTTCTGCTCCAATTAAGTAATTTTCATTGATAACAAAATTTATTGTAACCTTACTTTTTCCAGATTTTAAAGATCATTATAGTCGTCCCTCGTATATATAAACAAATCTGACATTTGTTAACTTTACTTTTTCCCAATTTAAAACCCGATTGGTTCAAATAACAGTAAAAATTGAAATCAGCCAATCACTGATGCCTAACAACTTGAATATTGAACTCATTATTCACGTTGTTAGGCCGGGCGGTTATATTGGTTTCCATTATTTATGAAAAATACCCAAATAATGTCAATAATATGCAATGGGTGTAGTAAAAGAAATTTATTGGAAGCAGTTATATCTGATATATTATAGTTCTTTATATATGCTCTCTAAAAATGAAATAGTCAAAATTTTACTATTTGAATTAGTACCAGCATTTTTTACTAATAAAATAGTCGTTTTTACTTTTAAATAGTTATTTTTTACTACGTAAATAGTTAAAGTTTGACTAATTTAAGATTAGTCACCATCTTTGACTATTTCTGAGAGTTAAAAGGAACTAATTTCTTTAATCGTTTGCGGCCAACAACAAAGTATTATTTGAATTAAATGCGTATACATAAGCTCCATGGTTAAATGACCCATAAAAACAAATAAAGATGCAAAAAGTTTAGCTCAAAACAGCAACACAAATAATATATTCAACTTTAAAATATTAGGAACAATATTTATTGACAAATAAGAGCGGCTAATGGCCAAATGGGTTATGACAATAGCTTGACAAGCTTGACAAGTGACAGACCTAAGTTCAATCCCGGGCTGTGTCAAAACTTTTTTAAATTTAAATCTACAAATTTGCCTATTTCATTCAGTAGAATTTGACTACTTATTTGTGACTGCTTTTTTGTTATGACAATTAGTCAAATATGACTTATAATTAGTTATTTTTGACTCATTCATTTTAAGAGAGTGATGAGTCGGGAAGAACGAACCAAGCACTGCACTTTAAAAGTTTGTGTTGATCTTGATAATTAATGTAATCAATATTTAAAATAAATAAATACTCGCGGGTAACCCTGTTAACTCCTATTATTTGGCCTTTAATATCTCCAGACCTCAATTAAACTATTTTCCGTAAATTTGATTCTAGTAAAACTAAAGCCGATATTTACTTAAAACATTAATTAATCAAGAAAGCAATGCACCTTTTTTCTAACTCACCCTATTACATTGTGAGTTTGATTTTCTTGGTTTATAAATATGCAATTTTTTTTAAGTAGTCTTACCTAAAAATATATTTTCAGTGATAATTTGCACGTGTTCGTTTCTATCTGGTCTGGTGTGTTCATGCCAAAATCCAATAGCGTGGCCCAATTCGTGTATAATGATACCAAGTTTCTTGCAATGAGGTGCTAGACTCACAGATTGCACACCATCTCCCTTTTTACCGACGAAAGAACAACATCTGAAATTATTATTATAAAATGAATGCGTTTGCATTACAATTACTACTTGTTTAGTTACCCGCAATCCCTTTCAGTAATAAATATGTAATTATCATGAACATGTGCATTTCTTTCCACAAATCTAATGCAAGTGAAGCTTTCCCAGTGGCGCATTGCTTGTTTTATTAATGCTATGAAAGTGCCATCAAACAAATTGTCGTCAATTTCGTATGGAATGATTCCAAACTCCCATACTCTGGCCTCCACTGCTGTAACCGCTCTAAAAGTAGACATATTATTAAAATTCATTAAAACATTATTAGTAGGTACTAACCTTTTAGTAATACGTTTATTGTTGTTTTCATCTTTGTATTTTAAAACTGCTATGTCTCCAATAATTGTACCTATAATTATATATTAAAATTTTATTTAAAATTTGTGTATTAATATTATATTACTAATAAAATCAAAAATAATAAATTAAATCTTGAAATATTTGTTATATTTCGGAAACTTTTCTGCAAACCCAAATAAATAAACTTAGAAGTAAAAACTAAATTTATCAGCAACAAATAAAACTCATAAAAATTAACCCAAAATTTCAAAATGCATGCATGCAGTCATAAAATGTGTAAACATAATCTAACAACATAAAAGTTTACATTAGGATATTGATTTTTTATGGTTTTTTGTTGAATCTTAATTTTTTAACATTTAATTTTAGTGAATATATTAAATAAATTAAAAAGTTGATAGATATCCTATGAAAACAGTTAAAAGAATTAATTTGTAAAAAATTCCACTTCTTAAAAAATTATTATTATTTATTATTTTAAAGTAGACTTTATTAACATAAGAATTAAATAAAATGTAATCAAATACATTTTATGCAACACCCGCAATGTAAGAAAAATCTCTGGAAAAGTGATGGTGCACAAGGGTATTTAATTATTTTTTCGTAAACCGCAAAGTTCCTTAAATAATGACAGTTCTATTATTGGCAGTAAAAATGGCGACAAATTTTCGTCACCCTAATATAACAAGGTTGTATGTTAAAAAACCGAAAAATTTGAGTTTATGCTTCTACAAGGTTTTATGTAATCCACCCTTGACATACAACTTGAAAATAACTCTATATATATATACATATATATGTATATATGTATACATAGAATATACATATATGTATATGTATACATAGAATATACATTCTATAGAATTATTTTTAAGTGGTATCTGAAGCGTAGTCCACGTATAATCCTGTAGAAACATAGACTTAAATTTTTCGTTTTTAGAACCTTGTTATATTAGGGTGACGAAATGTAGGTATCTCTGTGACGAATAAAACAATTTTAAGAGTAGCGCATTGTAATTTCTCTTATTTTTCTATAATTTAACTAATTACAATAAATAAGAACCTTTCCATTCAAAAGATCATCTCAAAAAGCAAATAAAATTAAATCCTAAACAACTGCTTTTCGAGCGCGTCACATAGGTATTATGTGGCTTATGGCAACTTGCACCGATTTCTCTAACTGATCAGTTAAATTACCTGCCAAGTTAAAAGGTAACAGGGGATTGTGTTCAAAATCTTGCACCGTAATTATTTAACTATGGTTTAAAATTGAACTAGTGATCTAGAGAATTTGACTAAAAAATGGAAAAGATTGGTGCTAATAACTAACTTTACACTTATTTGTGACGCAAATATATTTTGACGTTAAGAGTTCGATTCTTTATCATCTGTGGTTCGATTCTATTTCATGTACGACCAATTCAGTTGATGGCAAGAGAGAATAATATGGATAAAGAACCTGAAAAAAAGGGGGCGCTCCTTAAATTAATCTTGTGGATACAAGGGTATCATTGAAAACAAAGAGACAGATAGGGCTAAAACAATTAGAGCAGGAAATTGACAATAAAAAGGATATAAAAGAAATGACTCTTTCGGATTTAAAAATTTTAGAAGAAAAAGAAAAACTTAATATATGTATTATATTATAATAATAATTATAATAATAAACAAGAAGTGACTATTTATTTTATTTTTAAATAAGTACCTATAAATTTAATAAAACATCAAAAATATTATTCACATTAAATTCTATAAATTCGCAAAATAATCTTGTATTAATTGATTTTGAAACATAATGCGATCTTGTGGTTGAGTTATAACAGGGTACACCAGTTCATGGCATTAATATCATCAGGCATTGGCGGCTTATTCATATCTCTAGCAATATTATATAGTACAGCTGCAGCTGAAATAATGGAAAAAACTGTATCTAGTTTTAATCTTAAGCCATATGCCAACACTGGAAACCTTCTTTTTCAAATTCCAAATACTCTTTCTATTATATTTCTGGTTCTTAGTAGTGACTCATTATAGAGTTGCTGACCTCTATACCTATAACTATAGTTATTGGATTTGCTAAAGATGTCAATAAATAATATCTTCGGGAAAAAAAGATCTTGAATACCGATGACAAGTACTTTTGAGGTTATAAATCGTTAACGGTGGATTAAAGTAATTTAATCCCCCGAAATTGAAGGTTTATTTTAATCGTAGTTTAGTGGTAGGTATTTAAACAAGGATTAATTTACGGTGCAAGCCAGTTATGAAAAATAAACCTGTGTTAAAAAATAAACCACTGTTAAACTTACGGTGCAAGTGGCTATTAAAGTTTCAACAAAAAAAATATCGGGCATATGGAATAAAATAAATAAAATAATAGGACATTAGAGCATAAATTTCACTGACGCGTCATGTCGAGGCGATATCAGCCTATAGAAAGACGATATCAGCCTATAGAAAGACTTCATTTTTAAGCAGTTCTTAAATTATTATACACCACCGTAGAACAATAAAAATTAATAGAAATAAAAATAAATAGAAAGAGTGGTTTCATCTATCGCTTTTGGTTTGAAATCAGTGTAGATAACTAAAAATTACAGGTTACTATAGAATTAATAACCTATAATATTATATATGTCAAACGTCAAACCTATGACCAACTAGAGAATTTTAATGATATTAATAAACGCTTGAAAAAAATATTAAACGCTTTTGGTTTGAAATCAGTGTAGATAACTAAAAATTACAGGTTACTATAGAATAAATAACCAATAATATTATATATGTCAAACGTCAAACCTATGACCAACTAGAGAATTTTAATGATATTAATAAACGCTTGAAAAAAATATTAAACGCTTGAAAAAAAGTACTTATAAACAACACGGCGGAGAAAGCATATTAAATGCTTCGCTCAGATATGCCGCTGCAGCGAACGCTGAGCTCGGCATAATAATTTCAATAAATAAGGGCTTTCTTCGGCTTTTAGATAATGTACCATTTTTAGGTTAGGTTCATTCATTTCTGTACATAGTTTAATAATATTTTGACTTTTAAACTAGTGTTAATAAAAAGTCTTTTTGTATAGACTTATAATTGAAGAGGTCGGGCAATAGGGGACCTAAGCCTCATTGGAAATATATTAAGCCAACAAAGTTTAACCCTAAAATTTGTTATTTTTATATTGTGATTAGTTTTAATAAAACACTTAAATTTTATTAAAGGATATAAAAGTTTAAAAATTCTTTTCTTTTTATTTCAGGCTTTAAATAAACACTTTAAACCGTGTTTACTTAATATTTTTTCAATGAGGCATATCCCTTATTGCCCCGAACTTTTCAATTATACCTACTGCGCATCAAAAAGATATTATCTGACCCTCTTCTTCTGATTTGAACCATTTTGCCTTATACTATACTTGCTATGATAATTCACTGTTATTTACACCATTTGGGAAAAGCTGGATAAGTCGGTTTTTGCCAAAATAAGATTACACTAGGCAACCTATATTTGGTATCTTGCGTAAAAGTAGTCAGGTCGAAATGTCAACAGCTAAAGGATGAAACTACTTCAATAAGTAGATAATTAAATGATTTTCAAATATTCGTAAATATATACGAGGTTAAAAAAAAAATAACGGGAATTGTTAAATTTCGCGGCTTCGGAGGGTCCGGTTGTCATAAAATTTTATTTATTATGTTGGTATACATGCCCCCGAAGTATGATAAAAACTTTAGCTGTTTTCATTGTTTACTTTGTCTGGGGCAGCCGCTAAGGTTAGACGTGTTTTATGAGCTCGGCGATTTTCGTTCTTTAAAAGAAATGGATCAGAGAATTTGTATTCAATTTTGAAATAAATTCTGTGAAATGTTAACAAAGGCCTATAGTGAGTCTGCTATAAGTAAAACAAGAGTTTACAAGTGGTATAAGAGTTTTCAAGATGGCCGTGAAGACGTTGAAGATGACGAACGCCCCGAACCCACAAGCACATTAACAACCGATAAAAACATGGAAAAAGTGGAAGAAATGTTTATAAACCATCAGAGAAGTCGCTGATGATGTTGGTATATCGATTGGCTCATCCCATGAATTTTTTTCAAATGTTTTGGGTATGAAACGCGTGGCAGAAAAATTGTTAAATTTTGAACAAAATTTTTGGCCAAAAACAATACTGTAATGATGCCCCAGCCTCCATATTCGCCAGACATGCCTCTGTCTGACTTTTTCCTATTCCCAAAAATAAAGAGAACCTTAAAGGGCCGTCGTTTTGCAAGCATAGATGACATTAAAAGCGCATCGCTGAAATAACTAAAGGCTATGTCAAAGATTGAGTTTTAGAAGTGTTTCGAGTATTGGAAGAAGAGCTGGCACAGGCGCATCATATCCAATGGGGACTATTTTGAAGGCGACAACATTAATGTTGACGAATAAATAAATTTTTGTTTCAAAAAACGAAAATTCCCGATATATATATATATAATCTGACATGGTAAACCTTATTTTTTACCAATTTTAAATATTATTATAGTCGCCTTCCCCCAACCCAACCCGATTGGTTTAAATCACAGTGCCTAACAAAGTGAATAATGAGTTAATTAATTCCGTTGTTAGGCAGGGAATTTATAATGTTTATGCAATAGGAGTAGATATTAGTAGGTATATTATGTATCAAGTTGGTTAAACGCCATTTTAGTCACGAATTTTAATTAGGCACGAGCTCGCTTGCGAGATAAGAAAATATTTTCCACATCAATATTTCCCAAAAAGGACACTTTATTTTAACGATTGTATGACATTTGACAACTGCCAACTAAATTAAAACTAACTTCCCGCAACCAAAAACCCGTTGTTTACTTCAGTCTGTGAATAAAACGGCATAAAGAAAAAATTTGCCAATGTGTATTTAAAAGGTCACTCACTCACTTATTATCATAGAAACATGTACGGTGTTTTAAAGGTGGAAGTAGAAAAAAACTGTTATTTGTCATTGATATTAATCCGGTGTTTTAAGAAAAGTATATTAATTTTGTTTTCATATAAAGTTGTTTTATGTTTTTTTATTATTATGATGATGATGAATATTATAATGATTATTATGATTTTTATTAACTCTTTACTTTTTATGTTTTTTGATTTAAAATTGTTTTGATTTTTAGTTTTAGCTTTATAACAACATAATATGTATGTTGGTATTAAGATACACATTTGTTTATTATTCAAACCAAAATATATATTTTTTAATTTCTATAAATAGCTATAAATGTATAACTACTATTTTAATTGGTTACGGATAAATGAACTAATTCAGAAGCTAATTTCGCTATCCGATTAATAAATAAAAAATTTTATTACTCCACTAAAAACGTTCTCTTTAAATTTATTCAAATTTTTCCCAGCCAAAATGGGCCTTTTGTTTTAAAAAAATACAACAAATTCATATTTGATTAGCTTTTTCATTTTTTCGAAAGAAGAAAAATTTTAAGTAGGTACGACATTTTTATTTTTCAATTTATTTTACTTTGATTCGCAAATCTCATGATGACTAACTTTTTTTAATTTTTAGCTAATAATTAAATAAATTATAATAAATAAATTAATAAAAGAAAGGTAAGTTGGTAACTATGGGATTTAGGAAATTAAATCGATTGGGAGTGAAAAGCAGTTTTATAAAATAGTTTATAATATATACTTTTTATGGTGCAGAAAGACAATTATTATATACCGTATATATTAAATTTTTAATTAGTTTAAATTATCTGGCAGGCCGGCGCCTTAATTAGCCACAATGGCTACGGCCCTGCCTTAAAAAATGTTAAAAATGAACATGAACTTAAAAACAGATTAGAATATTATTTCATTAATTCTTTATATCCGTAATAATTTGTATTAAACCAAATTTACTAGACATATAGTCTGGTAATGAGGCAAGCCATTATGTTTAATCAAACATGCAGAGATAAGCTGATTAAATTAATTAGTTTCAATGACAAATTAATCCCAATTTTAAGTACTAGTAAAAACCAATTTACAAACCTGCTTTGCTGGGATCCAAATACAAATCGTCGGACACTTTTTTTGTATAAACTTTATTAATTAATTCGTCGATTGTGAAGTCACCTCTGGTCGTATTGCTGGACGGCCGCGCGATCGCGATTTTGTAACTTTCCACTATCACAACAAACAGAAAAAATGAATATGACGAAAATGTGCTCGGCTTCATGGCTATATTAAGTTTATCTTTAATGTTGTTTGTGTTCAGAAGTTCTCTGTGGGAATATTTAAACGAAATACGTTATATGCATATATATAAGTTACATTTAATACAGGTACAACTTCAATACAATCTAAAATATTTTAACAGGTCCTTAACTCCTTGATAAATACCTTATTTTTATAATCCTTGCCACTAGAATTTTATACCTGGTGATTTCTTTCATTGGCTCACCTGATCAAATTACCCAAAAGGTATAGAAATGCATTGTACATTATTATGCAAATTTTAATACCTAGATTTATTTATTTTTGGTTAGTTTCAGTAGTTTTTATAATAAATGGACCCTCTATATTGTATTGCTTTAATAAATAAAAAAAAATGTGCTAAAAAAATGATCAAATATTTTATATTTACTAAACATGACTTTTCCTATTGATCTAAGCTAAAATTGGTTGATTGTTTTATTTGTTTGCATTTTAAATAATAATAATAATAATAAATAGCTTTATTCCAGAAAAGATTTTAAAAACAAACTCAATAAAACAAAACGTGGAATGGAAATGCGTCAACAACATATAACAATTATTGTTAGGTATATGTTGTTGACACATTTCCATTTTACGTTTTGTATTATTGAGTTTGTATGTAAAATCTTTTCTGGAATAAAGCTATTTATTATTATTATTTATAATGCAAACAAATTAAACAACCAACCAATTTTAGCTTAGATTTTAAAATTGTTATAGTGTGTTTATTTTTAAAAGGATTTCTATCAATTTTCTGGGTTTAAATAAATCATAAATCTGTTTGATGTCCTTTATTTCCTTTTTCATCTATTTATCTAAATTATTTGTGTACAGTCTAAAAACAATTTTGAAAAAAAAATGTCGTTTAACTCTTAATGACATAAGAAAAAAATCATAACTCACTAATAAATATACATGCAACCACATAATATGTAGGTATATACATATGTATATATTTTACGATTTAAAAAAAGGTTTATATATTTTTTTCGTAAAATCATTGATAAAATCGAAAAAAAAAGTATTGTCATTATCTATATATATATTAGGGTGTTTTTAAAACATATAAAAAAAATGTATGCCAAATTTGAATGTCCTAACCGGTCCTAACTTATTTCCTTCTATTGCCTGTAACAACGAGAAGTTTTCCAGATAGAGGATTTTTCCCCTTAATGCATTAATTTTTTAAAATTACTATTAATCAATAAAAAATTAACATAGTTAAAATGGCAAAAAAATAAACAAAGTAAAACCTAGATAATTAGATTTTTGGTATTTTAAAAATTAAAAACTGTACAATAATATATTATAACACCACGAGCAAGACGATTCTTTCAGCGATGGGATATCGATGACACTGTTTTGAAAATAGATCCGACTATGTGGCCTCAGGACGAAATTTATCAAAACGGTTTAAACTCAGCTGAGAATCGTTAACGATGCTGCCGAAAGAGCTGTGCATTTATTTGACGAGTATAACTCCATCATAACATACAATGAAGACCAGATTCTGGTCACCAGAAACAATTTGTTGTACAGCTTGTGTCAGAGTTTCGAAAAGCATTTCCCGATGCAAAAAAAGACGTTGGTAAACAATTTTTAAAATACCAAAAACCTAATTATCTGGGTTTTATTTTGTTTATTTTGGTTGCCATTTTAAATATGTTACTTTCTTTAAAAATAAATTGTTCGAAAACAATCTAAAAATCAATTTCATTATTTACATAATTGTAATTTTTTACTTTTCTAATGTTGGTGCTCCCTAAATATCTTTTAGGTAATCTTAAATTATTTGTTTTATAAAACAAATAATTTAAGATTGCCTAAAAGATATTTAGATAGCACCAACATTACAAAATAACATTTCAATTTGAAATAACATTTCAATTTGAAATTTTCAAAGCACACTAATTATGCATTAAATGCAAATTATCACTGATATTTTGTTTTTTTATGCCAGTTTTAATAAAATAATAATAGTAATAATTAAACAGTTCCAAGGAAATTTTACTACAAATATATTAATATTTGTTCGACAACGATAACCAAAAGGTTTTTATCAAGGATAACCAAATATATCAACGATATCAACGATAACCAAAAGGTTTTTATCAAGGACATAATATTATTAATATGTACATGGTTTTTATCAACCATTTTGTTTTTTGTTGTATACCAATTGTTTTTGCATTGTTTTTTTTTCATTGTGTTTACGAGATTTTTAATATCTTTTATATAATATGCACATTATGTAACTTTTTGCTTTTTATAAAGCCAAACCACATACATTTATGTAACTTAACCTATAGGCGATGTAAGCAAATATTTTAGAACCTAAATTTAATTTAGTTGACAATTGATATCATACATGGACATATTAATATGTCTATTGTATCATATATTTTAAATGCCCCACTTATAAACTGACTACCTATGTGCATAAGGTAGATCATACGTCAAATCGACAAATTTTCCTTCAAAAAAGGAAACAAAGTCATCCAGACAAAATATAGCAAATAAGCAGTAGATGTGTGGAAGTATGTGTCTGAAACATATCCCTAACAACAGCAATAATAATACGGTCTGATTACGGGGTAGGCCCGATTAACCAATGTTATGTTATTTAGAACGAACTAATCCAATATTGTTATAATTAAATATAATTTCTGGAACCCCTGTATAATAAATTCAGTATTTTGACAAAATTCATTGTAGGTAATATTTTAACATTTATTTGTATATTTATAAATGCCCTTAGGTAATTTTCTTTTCATATAAAGATTTTCTGCAATGAATTTTACCTTAAGATTTACAAGTAAAGGAATTTTAAATATTAAAATAATATTGTAACAAAACCTGTTGTTTATGATTTTGTTTTAAACTAGATAACCTTTTATTTAATGTTTTCCTACAAATAGGTCGAAAATTCACAATGTGTCCATTGTACACGGTGGATATTTAGTAGATTCTTCCACCAAAAACCGCTAGCTTAAATTCATAACCTGTGGAAAACCCTATAGCAAAAATATGAAAACCTTATAGCAAAAATATGAAAAAACAACTAAAACGTTATTTGGCAATGTAGTTTTAAACAATGAAAATTGTAAGCACCTCATTATTTTAATGGGCAAACTCATATAAAACAAATTGTAAGATTATATCTGAAAATAATGTGTGTCAAAAACAATATTTAACCATATATAGGCATATGCAATATTTTTTTGTATTCTTACAAGTGTATTTGTAGATACACACGGTTCATCCGGTTTTAATAAACTATTTATAAATAATTAGTAAGTCATCTAAAACGTATTCTATACATATTATATATTACTAATTACTGAATAATTATTTATAAATAGTTCAATAGTGCAATTAATTGCTTGTATTTTGAAATGTCACTGCCTTCATAATATATATAATATATAATATATAATATATAATATATAATATATAATATATAATATATAATATATTATATTTGCAAGCACTCTTCAGCATCGAATATGTTGACCACAAGAAAAAATAAGAACATTTATTTTTAAAAACATTAGCTTCTTACCTTTCCCAAAAAAAACGCTAGTATAACATTTTCACTGATACCTTGTACCCCTTGATTTACAGAATTGATCAAAAGTTTTATCATATTTTTCTTTTGACTTAGATAAAAGCAGATTTTGAGTCGCTTCTCTCGCGGCTTCCAAAATACCCTAATTTTCTTTAAAAATACTTATCTTCCGACCAAAATTCTGTTTTTTTTTTGTCATGCTACGGTTTACTTTTCATAAGCAACTATGTTAAAGATTGTAAAAAAACAATTTTTGTTTTCCTCTTTTTCCATTAAGTATAAAAAAAGCATGTTCAACTCGAAAGAAAAGTTCGTTTTCCTGCTCGTGAAAATTGATTTCACTTGCCAATGCTCGTGAAACCAACCTTTTTTACTCACTGGAAAACTCTCACTTTTCTTTACTTGTAGAACAATCTACTATTTATATTTATAAGTCAAATGTTAAAAATGTCCCCCGTTCTCTTGTATACAATAATAAAGCCTGAATTTAAAACCCTTCTACACATTACGAAACATCGCTGAAGTTACTTGAAGGCACTCTGTTACAATCCGTTGACGTAGTTTGTCCAAAAACCCAGGTTGTGTTACCAAAATATCATCTATGACCTTAAGCAGAACTTTAGAACAACTGTAATTTTTTCTTAATCCAGATTGATATTTTGGAACAATTGAATATCTATCTAGATAAATTTTAATTTGTTTATTTGTATATAATTTTTTAGCTAATTTTGAAAAAGTGGGTAAAATACTAATTGGCCTCAATTCCTTTTGTTCTTTAGGATCGTTAACTTTTGCCAATTACTTTATAACAGATATTTTCCAAGTATCTGGAAATTGATTTGATTCAAAGCATGTATTTAAAATGTGAGTGATCATTGGAAGAATGCGAGGACAACCAAATATTATCATATTTATACCAATATTGTCAATACCAACAGCCTTTGATTTTATGTTAATGATAGTATTGGCCACCTCGGTTTCATTGGTTAAAGAAAAGCCGAAATTGCCAGTATTATCTCTTTTATTTTGTAAAAAACTATTTATCGTTAACTTATCATTTTGAAGATTACTGCGCATTATATTAAGATAATATTCATATATTTTTTCTGGATCTGATAGGTTATCTGGTATTTTAAATTTGGTTTTTGAATTTACTCCCAAATTTTGTAACATTCTCCAATTACTTTTAGGATCATTTTTTTGAAAAACTGTTATATAAGTATGCCTTTTTTTCATTGGAAAATCCCTATTTGTAAAGTTTCTTAGTTCTTTGTAGTATTCCCAATCTTTTTGCAGTTTTGTTCTTTTAAACTTTGTTAAAGCTTTGTCCCTCATTTTCATTAAATTTTGTATATTATTTGTGATCCATGGAGCCTTTTTTTTAGTGATTTTTATTGTCTTTAATAGTGCATACTTATTCATTATATCTAGTATTAATTGATTTAATATATTTACTTTATCATTTAAATTTTCAACATTATAAATTCAAAAGGTAATAATTCTAATTCTTTATTAAAACATTCTAAATCAAAAAGTCCCCATAAGTTTTTATAAATGGCTTAGGTACACCTTGTTTTATATTTAACTGACACTCTACCCATAAATGATCTGATATTTCACCATTATCACTTACTTAAACACTTTTAACAAATTCTTTATTTGAACAAAGAAAAAGATCAATCTTCGACATTAAATAATTTATAGCCTCTTCAAATTCATAAAAACAATATTGAATATTTATATAGCCAGGTGGTCGATAAATGGCTCCAAAAGAAATTAAGGTTTTATTAATTTTAAAATTTATAAATATATTTTCAAAAGTTGACTGTACTCAACAACTTAAGATGTGTTCTCTAATTTCATTAAAATGATGCACGAATGTCATCTATATAACTCAATCCAAACATACACCACAACACAAAAGTTATAATGGCTCAACACCAGTGCATTGGTTAATTTTATTTTTAAATTTTGAAAAAGAACTTGTCTGTAAGGGTAGAAAAGTTTTAGATTACCATAAGTACTTTTAAGACATTTATTTATGTAATTATCAACTTTTAATTTGTTATCCAAACCAAACCCAGGTTTTTTGTATATATATATATATATATATATATATATATATATATATACAGGGTGGTCCAGGTTATAGTAGCAATAATTCACCATTCGATAGTCCATCGAAAAATAAGTCGACATGTATGGTAATTTTTTTCTCCAAAACCCCTCCTAAGGGAGATACAGCCCTTCAAAGTTGAGTTTTAAAAATCTTTTTTTTGTCATAACTCTCAGGAAATAAAAGCGTTTTTGACCAAATTTGGTACAAGTACTTATGAAATAGGTACTCGTTACCTGACGTAAGTAACTTTTGTCAAAATTGTCCAGTGACGTAGATACAGGGGGGTTGTTTCACTTTTTCCCCCCCATTTTTTACGCCACTGGATATTGGTTTAAATTGACCTATTTTTCTAATTCCTTGTTCAATTTTAAGAAAAAAAGCCACTCTTGTCAAATTTTGATTTAAGGCTTTATTTACGAGATAATTGAGTTTAAAAAAACATACAGTCCTGCAAAGTTCAGTTTTAAATATCTTTTTTTTGTCATAACTCTAAATCTAAGATCGCTAAAGCGTTTTTCACCAACTTTGATACAAGTACTTATGAAGTAGATACTCGTTACTTGACCCAAGTAACTTTTGTCAAAATTGTCCATTGGCGTACATACAGGGGTTGTTTCACTTTTTCCGCCCAGGATTTCACTGAAAAATAACTCGACATGCATTGTTTTATTTTCTTCAAAACTTCCTCAGAAAAGTCATAAAGCCCTTCAAAATTCAATTTTAAGATTTATCTTTTCGTATAAGAATATTTGATTAAATTTGGTATTTAAAATAGGTAATCAACACTTGACGTATTTTTAGTTAAAATTATCAAGTGGCATACTACTTTTAGAAACGGATCAATGTGATAATTATTGATTATGATAATAAAAAACGATACGTACTAAATAAATCATAATAACATTTTAATAACGAATTTAAACTTATCTAACATTTACAAATAAATTAATTTAACGATTGTTCAAAATTCGAACCGTTCTGCTGTATGCACAATTGGCTACGTCTAATGATGTTCTGGTTTAAGCTTAATAGCACATTGCGATTAATTTCTGCACACGCATTCTGGATTATTTGTAGAAGCTCTTCCCTTGTGGGCACAGGTGTGAAGGGCTTTGTGTCTTTTCTGAGGAAGTTATGGTAATCTAAAAATTCTCATATTTTTGAAGATATTTCAAAAGTGACTGGATTCTTTAAAGAAATGTTAAAAACAAACCCCTCGTTATATCAATTTTTAGGTTAGACATATCTTTTCTCTTAAAAAGCAACCTTATAGGGTGATTCAAAACTCGAGGCGAAAAATTAAGAAATGTATACATTTTTATATTCTTGATATAAAATGTAAAATAAAATTTTTGAAGATATGGCTTTGTTTCCGAGATATTATCAAAGTGTTTGCATGTGATAAATTTTTAACTTTATTACATAATATAAAAATATAAAAAATAATTAAATCAAATGTTCAAAAATACCACCATTAGCACCAATACAGGCTTGGCAACACTAATTGCATGTTTTGCCTATTTTGAGTGCATTCGACTTCATTGATAGTTTGTTCCATTAATTGTTCTTGGTTATTAATTTCTACTGCGTAAACCAGTTGTTTTAAATGGCCCCATAAAAAATAGTCCAAAGGGTTCAAGTCAGGTGATTTCGCAGGCCATAGCACCTGACCACGCCGACCAATCCACCAATCCATCTCCCATTAAAAGTTTGGTTAAACCAGGCGACAACGTTTCGTCCAACATGAGTTGGTGCTCCGTCTTGCTGATACCTCATACGATTGTATACCAAATCCACAAGAAAATCTTCCAGCAAATTTGTGAGATCGTTTTCTAAAAATTTCAAGTACGAATATGCATTCAAACGATTAGGAAGGACTTGAATCGGAAGTAATTGTTCGTTAAAGACTGAAAACTTCTTTTAAAAGCGTGAGGATTTTCTAAAGACCATACATGTTCATTACGGTAGGTATTTATGCCATCCTGAGTAAAAGTAGCTTCGTTCGACCAAAGCGTCTCTCTGAAGAAATTTTCATTTTGTTTAAGCTGGTGAAGAAGCCATTGACAAAAGGCGAGTCGTTGCATGTTAAATCCTGGGTGCAAATTATCTACTTTTTGTTTATGTAAAACTTTTTAAGGTTCTCCAAGCAAAACTTTGGGATACATTAAGACGGGCAGCAATGCGTCTGGTACTAATTTCTGGATTATCGAGCATACAATATATCACTTCTTCTTCCCTCACATCATCATAATAATTATTTCGGGTAGCACCACCAGCACCAGTACGGGAATTACCAACCTTTGATAAGCGTCGGAAAACACCCGGCGAGATAGTTGTCGTTTATTAGGGAATCTTTTGTTGTACTCCCGACAAGCTTTTAATGCGTTGCCATCACAAAAACCGTACACAAAAATAATATCTGCATAATATAGAGAATATGCAGAATATTATTCTTCGTTAGAAAAATGCATGATTAACAAAACAACTAATCCAACAGAGGAACTTTTAAATTTGTAAACAATTTTTGTTGACTGTCACCAGGTGACAGTAAACTCACTTATTTCTATGCTTACTGTAATTTATGAAATTAAATTGGTCGCATAGAGAAACTTTAAAGTCTAATATTTCGGAAACAAAGCCCTATCTCCAAAAATTTTATTTTACATTTTTTATCAAGAATATAAAACTGTATACATTTCTTAAATTTTTCGCCTAGAGTTTTGAATCACCCTGTATATACACGATATGACTTTGTTATCCACTGTAATTCGAATATTGTTTTCAATTTGTCCACTACTATTGCCAAAAATTAAGACTGTTGATTTTTCTGAGTTTATTTTAGACTGATGTCTGTTTAACTCTTTCGGTGTTAGCAATGTTAAAGTGAGTAGCTGGAAAGGAATAGCGTAACTGTGTGTCATCAGCGTAAAATGAAAGATTTCATGTATAAATACGATAAAGTAAAGGTCCTAATATTAAACCCTGTGGTATGTAACAGTTAATATTAAGAAAGCTAGACTTTCTTTTTTTGTTTGTACATATTGCATTCTGTTGGTTAGGTAGTTTTTAATTAAGTTGGATTATAGAATATTATTTTATTAAAACCTTTTTTGCTAATAAGCACTTCTAAGGATTGGCTGCGGGACAAAAGGGTAGAAAATATTTAAAAAAAATTGGCACATTGTACACCAAGGAAAAGTTTAATGTTCCAAGTTCCGTGGTATAAATTATCGAATTCTGGAATTTTAAGTTTTGTTTTGAATTAAAACTACATAATTTATATCAATGGTTTTATTTAATATAACAAATATAATTTAAATATTAAAAATACAGTATGGTTAATTAAAACACAAAGAAAAATAATTTAAAATAAATTACTACAAGCTAGGATAAGTTAATTATAATTATAATAAATACCCTATAAATAATTCACAACCAGTTTAAAAATATTAACTCAACATTATTTTAATAAATAAAACTAACTAAATAAATAACTAAAATATATTTACAACAAATAACTATGTTGGCAATGAGTATATCACAAATTTTCAGTTTAATAATTACTAATATTTAGTTTAATAAATTAAGTTTTCTTAAATTTGTACATACATAGACAAGTCGTCGGAACGGGATATTCAGTGTATTCCAGTTCTTCAGTCGCCCCATTGTACACTAGGAACCTAATCACTGTATATTGTTGCACACACTTAGTCTCAATATTCATTAATTCTGTTGCATATTCTGGTGTTTCAGATCTGCAAATAAAAATACAAATTTAGTTATTATAGACAAACTAATAATTTAAACTATAACTTAACCCTAAAAATACAATTTAATAAAATAGGTACTTACACACATTGTTCGAACTCGATTCCCTGTCTGAATTTCTTCAAATTCACCACATATCGTTTTTCCATGTCATCTCCTAGCACAAATTTTGGGTACACTTTCCGGGTTCTTGTTCTGCACAAATTTCTTTCCGGTTCCTCCAAAAATCTTAGCATTGGGTTTGCGCCGTTTGGTTTCGACCCCAGTCTTAAAATATCTCCTGAAAGTTCTTTGTATTTTTTGGTGTTTGCTAATTTCTCCTGAATTTTTTTGGTCGGGTAGTTTAAGTTAGAGATGCATAAGTTGTCTACACAGTGCTTGTTCAGTCTTGTGGGTTTGGCAAGAACACATTGCTATAATAAAAAATATGCTAGAAATAATTTCGAAAATGATTTTTTAAAATACTTACATTAGTAACTATGAATAAAGTAAGTGACAAAATAATATTTAGCTGCATTGTATTTCCTTCTTTTTAGGTTTAACTTTGTTAAAGTCTTTAAGTAATATGATTTCTCTGTTAAAAAGTTGGTTTATTATATATTCCTTAAAAATGACGATAATGATGAGTAATTGTATACATTTGGACCAAATGAATATGCCATATTTTTGTATATACATAATTTCAAAACAATACGTACATCCTCGTTTGGTTTTTATATTTATCTACGATTCTCTCCATCGTTAAAGTAAATATTGTTCGTGTGTGAGCAGATGTTATACACGTAAATGACTTTCTTTGGACATTACTTAATATAATCACTGGATTTTCCTATAACGGTGTGGTAATTCTTAAAAATCTTGTCGGTTTTTTGGTTCCTATTTTAAAAATAGAATTTTTAATTTGTTATTGAGTACCAAAATCAGGTGTGTCCTTTCAGAAAGGTCCAACTACATATTTTTTTAATTTGCTCGCGTATTTAAAAACGTTAAATTTTTAAACTGTCACATAATTTATTTTTTATTTTATTTAAAAATTCTTTATGTATACATACAAGATAAGAAGAAAATGTTGGCTATTGTTTTATTTGGTATTACCTTTTCAATGCTTATTTCAACATTTTCATGGCCTATTCGATAGTTCCTGTTACCTTTTAGGCATAAGTAGTAATTGAATAATAGGAATTGACAAGTTTAATAAGTATACCTAATAATAATAATAATAATAATAATAATAATAATAATAGATTTATTTGTTGTTAGGATGTATATACATTTTATAGTTTTACACAAAAAAAACATACATATAGTACTTATGTATGCATTTTCACAACAAAAGGGTCTAAAAAGCAGCAGAGCTGATATTTATATTTTAGACCAAAAAAAAACTGGTGGTATTACATCTTTAAAATAACTGGACAGCCTTGAATTGACTTGTAATTCATTCTGAATAAAAATATAAAATATAAAAACCACATACTCTTAGCCAATATTATTTGAAAATGTTTTCATTGCTTTTATATAGAGTAAGCTCTTTGGTAACAAACTCCATTAAAAAAATTTAGCTGGCAAGTTATTCTAAGAATATATGAATTTATAAAATTAGACAATTTTGCCAAAAAATTGCATTTTTTTTTAAATCCCAAAGACCGTTTAGGGCATCAATAACTAAATGTGTCCTATATGGTTTAAAAGAGAAATATTTTCACAAATAATTAACAGTTTGTTTAATGTCGATAGCTTTATAAGCAAAAGAAGTACAATTTTTTAAAATTAGGTCTTCACAGTAACTTTTGCATAGCCCTGTATAAATAGGTGAAGGGGGGAGAAAGGAAAAGGTGAGTTATTTTACTTTTTGGATCCTTGTCTATTTACAGTTAAAAAAGAAATCAAATTAGAGTATATAAGGTGCACTCATTGGTGGCTAATAAATGGAATTACCCTAAATAGGTAATCCGCCATCTTAAGGTGGCTGCGATATTATAGTTTTCTACTCGTCAAACCCTTTTTTTATTACCAATATCAAGAGACTTGTAAAGGAAAAAAGTAATCTTGAAGAGGCGGCCATTTTAAATAAATTACAATATTGAGTATAGATTGTATTGTTACCAGAAACATAAGTGTGTTTAAAATTTTAGCTTAAATTTAAGCTGAAATTTATAATATAATTTTATTTGCGTACCTAGAGCATTTACAAATAAAGCAATTTTTAAGATTTCGTTTCCATAATCCATGGAAACTGCAGTGTTTAAATGTTATTAAAAAACTTATTTTTTGGATTTGCTTCAAGTTGTCTCACAGAGGAGGTTTGTAAGTGATTTTAAACTAAGGCAAGATTAACAAATAACTTTTTGAGAGTGTTTGCCTACTCGCGTCCCGAGACTTTAAATCCCACCATTTCTTACAAAAACGTATTAAAGGGGCTCGTCTAACGCCGTGTTTCAAACTCGAAAGTCAAAGTCAAAGTCGGAAAGATTACACTGTACTTGGCGGGTCCACGAGCAATAAAAATCTCGTCATATTACAGAAAAAATATTGCCATATCTCACAAGGCTGTGTAAAAAGTGTTTTACATTATTTGGGCATTTTTTTATCTAAAAATTACTGTGGCTAGGCTTTGGGCCGCAAGAAAGGGGTTGACGGGCCGCATGCGGCCCGCGGGTTGCAGTTTGAGTATCGCTGGGGTAGGTAGTAAAAATCTTATTGTAACAATTAAAAAAAAACGAATTTATCTTAACATCAATCGTCTTAATTAGCACTAATTGAACATTTATCGATAGTTTAACTCGTCCTGTATAAAATTAAATAAGAAAACTACCAACATTATTTTACCAAAAAGGTGCGATCGTAAAACTTGGGGTTAGTTGTCACATTTTTTCGAACAGGTAGTAACAATTAAAATAAATAAATTTCAACACTTTTTAACTTTTATTTTTTCCAACAATAAAATGAAACATTTATAATTAAATCTCTGAGTAATGTTTCTTTTAAGTAAATTTAGTCTTCATTAGAGTTAAAGCGGTTTCATATAGATGCGAAATGCGAAAAATGCGAAAAATGTATCCATTGGTCCATTTGATTTGGCGGGAAAAGCGTTTTGACGTTTCGACAGATCCTGCGAATTCGCAAGATTTGAAATCTTGAGATTGATTCAATATTTTGCGAAAATCGCACGAATTTGTTGTGATGCGCATGCGCATTAATTAATTCTGTCTTGGATCGTGGAGGATAATATATCTGGGGCCTGCCATACGTTCCCATACTCATACTCATACTCATTTGTCAAAACAGTCAATTTTATTTTTTATTGCAGTGGCGCTTTTGGTATCGGTCTAATCTTAAATGGTGAAAAATTGTTTTATAAGGAACTTGTTGTTTCGTTGGTGGTTTCAATGTTACGTATAGTTTTATTAGGGCCAGTATCCATTCAGAAGCAAGATCCAATAGTTCTGGATTTTCTAGGTTCAACGTTAAATACGGTTGCGTCTCTTTCTGGTTCATCTGTAGGATTTGGGCATAAGATGAAATATATCAACATTTAAAGGATAATTTAATATATTATACCAGAAGATTCAGTTAGACAATAAATAAATACATTTGTTTTAATAAAAAGCAACGTAATTAAAAAATATATATATTAAAAAAATACTTTTACAAAATAAACTTATATTAAGCAATTAAAATATTATTTACAAATCATTATTGGAAATAAATCGGTTTCCTTCAGAATGTTTTCCACTATATCGAAATCTGCATTTTCCATACACACCTTAAAAATAAAAGTACCTAGTGATTTTTTAATATATTTAAACTTGTATAAATATTCTAAAAATATAAGGTATTTTTTAATTAAAGTTATAAGTAAAATAAAACCTTCAAAAATTCTGAACCCGTAGGTGAATAAAGATTTTAAAATTGGTTTCAGTAAATATAACGGATTGCTTTTTTAATTTAAAATATTCGAAGTTGCTTCCTACCTTTAAAATCCTCGGGTCTTCTAATATTTTTTGGCAATGGAGTAAATGGATCCTCTTTCTCTTCTTTGGATTCCTTAACCTCACAAGTCTTGGGTCGTATTATTTTCATAAATTGTCCAGTTCGTCTGGCTTCTTTTCTTTCCATATCTGTCACTTTACTTGAGTCCAAAAATTTAAGTGACGGTAAATGATACAACACATAATGTCTAAAATATTAAGAAAATACAAACGTTTTTGTTATTTATTTATAAAACATTAATTTATTTTAAAATAAAAAATTAGATATACCGCATGTTCATGCAAGAAGTATATATATAGGAGTTATTTTCGAATTTCTTGTACATTTGGTGTCCCTCAACTTTAATATTTTATAAAAAATTGAGTTTAACGACATTTGGAACTAAGCGAAATCAATTGGTTTAAGCAACTATATATTAGCAAAATTGTAAAATTTTAAATTTAACTTTATAAAAAAAATAAATTTTCCCCAACAGTACAGAAAAGTAGCTGTCCCACTTGCAATAATATTCACTACTTAATGCTATTTAAACATCTTAGAGTAAAATTGCATCCTCCTTTTTTTTTAAATATATTCAAAATATTACAGAAAAAGCCCATTTGTAAAAAAAATTAAAAATACAAGTGATTAAAATGACGCCCAAAGTTTGTCCCTTAGTTTTGGTCCCCTAGATCACGTCTCTTGGGTCAAAGCTTTTATAAATGACCTTTTGGATTGAGCACAAATTTTTTGGTGCTGCCCCCTTGGGGCAATGTATTTGGTAACGGATTTTAGTAGAAAGTGGTGTTTTAAACTATCTTGAAGCCACAACACGTTGTTTGGTATTTTTTACACCAGCGCGCTGCAGCGTGGCAAAACTGCATTCTCCTGTGTCACAGTAATAAAAAGTAGTAAAGGTACCAGTTGGACTTTGATTACAATTTGAATACAATTTTTTATCTGGCAGTCAACGTGCAGTAAAGAGGTTATGTTCTAAAAACATACATTTTCCCCCTGGGTCACACGTCTCGTGGATCACATATTGTGTGACCCAGGGGAAAGTTATGTGACCCAGGGTACAATTCCAAAGAACTAAATTACAATACATTTTTGAAATAATAATAAACTTATGGAAAAGTTTTAAAAACATTTATTTTCGACCTTCCACCTTTTAAAAACCTTTTTAATAGTAATTTTTCTCAATGTATTTTGCCTAAAAAAAGTTTTATGGTAGTTTAACGAAACAATGTTTATATTGACGTTAATTATTATTTTATTAATATTACTAATATTACTAAAACTTTTTATAAATTTATTGCTCATTAAATTGGATAAGCTATAGATAAAAAATCGAGAAAAAAACGTTTTTTTAATGCGAATTAAAAACGTACGTTTTTAATACGCATTAAAAGAAAATTTCTTACAATCACTTTTTAATGGACATTTTTTAAATACAGAAAATATATTAAAAATACTTATGTATGTAAGAAAGTTGAGAACATAGTTTTTGCTTTTACTTAATTTTGTACTCAATTTTTTATAAATAATAAATGTATGTTCTTTTTTTAAACAAATCCTAGTGTAAATAAAACTTTAAAAGCAAAAAATATATTTTCAAAATGATTAAGCATTTTTATATAAGTTTTTTTTAATATGTTAGTAAATTTGTGACCCAGGGGACCATTTTTTTCTTTTTTAAGGGCTTATTTAAAAAAATCCAACTGCCCACTTTTAGATCATAAATAACACACCTAAATAAACAAAATATGGAAAAAAACAGGTTTGTAGATTAAGTGTTTTGTTTTTACTTCTTCTTCTTTCAAGGTATAAGAATTTTGAAAATGACACATAGACAGAGTGCATTCGAATTTTTTAAGTAACTGAATCATATTTAAAAGTAAATTAATCTAATAATTACGAAATGCGTTTAGCTCGTAAAATTGAATGCTGCTATGATGCCCCAGCTGTATACACAAAAAATGAAAATACGGCATATCAATACATATGAAAAATGTTATGCACTTATGTATTATTTTTTAAATATTTTATAACTTATTAAATAGGTTGAATAAATTTTATCATAAAATATCACCTGTATCTTTGATAATCCTCTTCATCGCTGTCTAAATTCGACAACTTATTGGGACATGCTTTGTTTCCTAAAAGACTAAGGTAATTCAACATGGGCAAGTTGTGATTTATTTTAATAAGTAGAACTTCTAAATCATCAATCTAAAAATAAATTAAAATACTCATTAGTATTTTAAAGGTTATGAATTTTTATGTTAAAAAAAATAAACCTCGGAATCCCCACTTTACACATTTTTAAATAAAAAATTGATCCGGAAAAAATAATTAATAAATAAATAATACCTATTATACTTTGACAGTCACAGTAATAAATAATTTGTCAACCACAAATTAAGACTAGCACCTTAGCCGAGGGGTAAACCACTGATTTTTTAAATTAAAAATCACATAATCACGAATTAACGGCTAATGAAAAAATCAAAGAGGTTGTACGAGATCGAACAGACCTTGTTGTGTGGATTGTGAGTCCAACAAGGTTGTTTGTGAAAATAAAAAATGCCAACTACCGATATTTTTTAGAATGTCCGGGAACACTTTGAACAGTTACTGTAGTATTGTATGGAGGTGAACTGCTGACATTTTTAACAGTAAATAAGAAAATAGGTAAGTACTAATCAATAAAATTAAGTTAACCCGGTACTGTACGACTTTCAGGTCATAAACGGTACTAAGGGGTCTGAGAGACACTTGCCTTTTAAAATTATAATTTATATTATTTTTTTTTATCTAAGGCTTTGGGGATACTAGGAACTATATATAAAGTTAGAATATCACCAATAATAATACCTAAATAAAAGAAAAATTTAAACAAATAGGTTTTAATCAAAACATGTACAAAAAGTGCAGTAGTGCAAACTTTGTGATTAAACTATAAAAAATATTAAACCAAACAAAATAAAACGATCTTTATTTCGAAGAATATACCTTAAAAAATAACATAAACAAAAAAATTCAAATATACCTTTTTTTAACAGCAAAAATAACTGCTTTAAACTATAGCTGATTTTTACAACTATTTTTTCCATAGTAACTTTTTTGTTTTTTTTTCAAATTCTTAAAAAATTTCAAATTCTTCTCTATCTGACCCTATAAAATTATTTTCTATAGACTCTTCACAGACAAGTCCTGAATCGCTGCTGTGATTATCTTCAACGACATAATCACTATAATGGTTATGTAGTATACTACAGTCATCTATATCACTTATATCGCTGTCGATTTCATAAAACCACTACATTACAGTTTCCTTGAAGCCTTTCTTATCACTTTGGACACTTTTAGAAAGCCCTTGTTGCGAATCCATAAGGAATTAATTGTTTTATAAAAATTACGTAAACGGTACTCAGTGGTCTACTAGACACCTCAACACTTTGACTCGTAATAATTTGTCCGTTTGACAATCCAACTTGTTCAAAGTCTGAGAGCATATTGATAACTGCTCAACTTAAAAGTATTGGAAGCGACAGATTTTTAAAACAAAAGGTGAGGGTGTGACAGCGCTTGGTTCGTTAATGAGTGTCTCCCAGACACCACAGTACCGGTTACGGGTTAAATTTCTTGGCAACCCCACCACGAAGCGTAATTTTAAAGAGTTAAAGGGTTGAAGTTACAGTGGTGATAGCTGTTATTTTGTTACAACCACAGACCTACTGTGGTTACAACGCATTGGATACGAGATATAGTAATTTTAAAAGCAAACGAAGTTCACGTCATCGATGACGTCATAATTTTGCGCAATGGTACCAATACTAAATGTATAGTAAATTTAAAAGTAAACTTCGTACACGTCATCAATAAAACAAAAATTTTACGCCTTGGTACCAACACTAAATGGCTAAATCGAAGACTGTAATTGAATATTTGAATGCATTTTAAACATCTTCAGTTGGCAACAATTAAGATGTTGTCATATTTACATTCAAATATTTCATATTTAAATGACACATAAAAAAGAATTTGACGTTTTAGAATTTCGAAGCTGTCAGTTGTGTTTTTGAATATTTCGTTTAATTCGTGTATTATTTCGTTTATTTTGTTTGTTGTTTGTGTTATTTTATATCGTTTAAGTTTTCATTGCCGTTTTTGTGTTTGTTATATATCGTTTTTTTGTGTTTCCTATATTTAAAATGCCGAAGCATTTAAATAGTCGGAGTCAAGAGTTGGTGTCATCCTTAATACGCTATTTTGAGGCAGAACGGGATAATAATGGACCTTTGTTACCTTTAACAGCTGTTAGAGAGGTAAATAGGATTATTATTAATTAGGTATATATTAGAATATTTAACAAAATATATGTTGGATATATAAAATAATAATATATATACCAGAGACTGACTTTGGATGGCAAAATTTTTGGGTTTTATATCAGAAAATGTCTTTAAAAATGGCTAAAAACATACTTTTGGCGGTGCATCATATAGGTTATAAAAACTCAGACTTTTGACATTTTGGTATTATTCATGTAAACGCCAACTATCGCCCTGTAGTTGCACTACCACTTTCCCTTGATGCAAGGATTTTAGCATCACATTGACAACCGTGCCCGATCAGCTGATTGATGACGTGTACGTAGTTTACTTTTAAATTTACTATATATAACGAAGTCTTTAATTGAATATTTTAATATATTTTAACCAAATTAAGTTGCAGCAAATGCAATGTTGTCATGTTTAGATTAAAATTTTGCTTAATAAAATGACGCATAGAAAAACAAATTGACGTTTTAGAATGTCGAAGCTGTCAGTTGTGTTTTTGAATATTTCGTTTAATTCGTGTATAATTTCGTTTATTTTGTTTGTTGTATGTGTTATTTTATATACACTCACGTGCAAAATAATCGATCCACACAAATTTTCGATGAATTTCAATCGCAAATAACTTTTTTATTTGATGTCGGATTTAAACGAATATTAAAGAATATTGTAGATAAATTAATGGACAATCGCTCACATTTTAAAAAAATACTAAAAAATAGACGTACGTTTATAATATACAGGTTTAAACAAAAAGATGTTTTTTACCATAAGTTTAAGACACTCTGTAGAGTGGCAAAACCGTATATTGTTCTAAATTAAGTTTTATTTATCAAGTCACATCTATTCTTAACAGTTTTGTTTTTGGTTTACCTCGATATATTTATTTTTGTGGAAAATATGGATTTTTTTAAAAAACATTGCAATTTCCAGTATTTTTACTGTATGAAGAACTAAGGTTGCTATGGTCCATTCATAGTCTATGGAGAATGACAGTGACAGTTTTGTTGAATCATCCCATATTTGGACATGTCATATACAGCTTTCAAAAGCTATCAAATTGTTTTTTGTAAATTAATGTGTTAATTTTGAGGTGTCTTCTTACTTTACTTTGTACAGTCCGTTCAGGCTAAGTTGAGCGCTTTGGTGGGGGATCATGTGGCCGTTGATTAATTTAAATATCGAATCGTCGCGAGATTTCGGTAACAAGAAGATAATTTATCAGTGCCGCCACTTGCCGTTTGTTAATACAGAGCGACTACCGAAATACATTTATTTAATTGTGCCTGAACATAGAGATGATGGACGGGGTGACATTCCTTAGACCGCTCAACTTAGCCTGAACGCACAGTACTTTACTTCTTATGACGTTTAAAACACTTGCCACGTAATACTGTGACCGTCCATCCTGGATTAAATTAATAGCTCTGGCAACATCAGTCGGAGACATATCCATTTTATAAAGTAAGAAGACACCTCAAAATTTAAACATTAATTTGCAAAAATAATTTGATAGCTTTTGAAAGCCGTGTATGACATGTCCAAGTATGGGATGATTCAACAAAACTGTCACTGTCATTCTCCATAGACTATGAATGGACCATAGCAACCTTAGTTCTTCATACAGGAAAAATATTGGAAATTGCAATGTTTTTTAAAAAAATCCATATTTTCCACAAAAATAAATATATGGAGGTGAACCAAAAACAAAACTGTTAAGAAAAGATGTGACTTGATAAATAAAACTTAATTTAGAACAATATACGGTTTTGCCACTCTACAGAGTGTCTTAAACTTATGGTAAAAAACATATTTTTGTTTAAACCTGTATATTATAAACGTATGTCTATTTTTTAGTATTTTTTTTTAAATGTGAGCGATTGTCCATTAATTTATCTACAATATTCTTTAATATTCGTTTAAATTCGACATCAAATAAAAAAGTTATTTGCGATTGAAATTCATCGAAAATTTGTGTGGATCGATTATTTTGCACGTGAGTGTAGTTTAAGTTTTCATTGCCGTTTTTGTTTGTTGTTATATATCGTTTTTTTGTTTTTCCTATATTTATTGCCGAAGCATTTAAATAGTCAAGAGTCAGGTATCATCCTTAATACGCTATTTTGAGGCAGAACGTGATAATAATGGACCTTTGTTACCTATTACAATATTTATTTAAATACATAAAATAAGAATATATGCACCAGAGACTGACTTTGGATGCAAAATTTCTAGGTTTTATAGCTGAAAATGTCTTTAAAAATGGCTAAAACATACTTTTGGGGGTGCATCATATAGGTTATAAAAACTCTGACTTTTGACATTTTGGTATTATTCATGTAAACCTCGCCGTGTAGTTGCACTACCACTTTCACTTGATGCAATGATTTTACCATCACATTGACAACCGTGCCCTATCTGATTGATGACGTGTACGTACGACGCGTCGTTTCCTTTTGAATTTACTCTTTTGAATTTCCTTTTGAATTAAGTTTTATGATCTGTGAATTTACTATATGCAAATGCATTTATAATAACCGAAGTATAAAAATTGTTTTTTACTATAATACGAATATAGTTTATTCATTTATTAAGGTTTTTAGAAAACGGTTTTTTTGTTCTTCTAAAAAATTACCTATATACAAAAATGCCATACAACGTTTTGCAGTATTTAAGAAGAATTTTTAATAAAAGAAATATATGTAGAACTAATCTCGATGTTTAGCCAACAAACGTTTAATCTTAATTCATTCACAAACGGTTTTTCTAACACTAAAATTATTTAATTAATTATTAGAAATTTAAATGGGATTAGGATTAAAACCAAAGTTTGGTTATTTAATTTAGTTTATTTTACTATATTAGGTATATTAAAAAGGTTGCACTTTGTATTGTATTCATGTTATTCGTATAAGAAAGCAAATCATTATATTTCAGATGTATTTATTCTTTTTTGTAATATAATTTTAAAAATTTTGACTATTTTTTTATTTTATACTCACTGTGTGTTTATTTTACTATGCGTTAAACACACAGTGCTGAATTTCCACAGTTTATAGGAATAGAAGGAAAACCTTTTGTAGTTAAGAAGATACAGGGTTTCAAAGTGTTTATTTTTAGCAGAATGTTTTGGTCGTGCTATATCCTCAACATGTTAACATAAGAATTTTTTAATTTTCCATTTCAATGGGAAAACAAATTTTATTTAAAAAGTCTGTAAATGTATTTTAAAATGTATTTTAATTAAAATTGTGTAAACCTAAATAAACTGGAGAAAGCTATGCATGCTTTTGCAAAAACATCGTGACATCATTATAACCTATCACAGAAATGGTCGGTTTCTACAAGCAAATTTCTTAAATTCTTGAAAAACCTAATCAAGAGTAAAATAGGTCTTAAGTGGACAAACCCCATCAGGAAGGCAAAATATTTAAGTTATGCTGAAAATATTGCTTCTGTATGGAAAGTAATATAAATGTCCCATTAACAATTTAAAATCACTTATCCAGTTAAAATGAAATTTAAAAATATTGTCTCGTTTGTTTTGTCTACCCAGTTGAATTTTTTATTTTATTTATAAAAACAAAAAGTGTAAATTAAAATTATTAAATAGAGAACAACGCAGAATTAATGTAATTTTTCAAAAAAAAAAATTAAAACATCAAATTTCCCAAACAATTTTATAGAAGATGAATTCAAATATTTTTTTGTAATTTTTAATTTAAAGTTTATTTAAAAAGAAACAATAAAAAACATTGGTCAATATTTTAAAGAGTTTTTCTGAAAAATTTCCGAAATTAAAAAAAAACAAAAATTCTAAAGTAAAAAATGCTTACATTATTTTTATTTAGAGATAAAGTGTGTAGGTACGGAAGATATGGCAAAACGATGGAATCTGTAAGCTGGTTGTTATCCAAAACCAGTTCCTTTAGTAACGGAAATCCTTCCAAACCGCGAAGGGTATGCAGCTCGTTATAGCTTAAATCCAAACTTTGCACTTTGGTTCCATACAGTTTAACTATCGCCTCAGGTATCTTTTCGCACTTTTGCCCACTGTAACACAACTAAATAAAAATATTTATTATTTTAATTTTAAATAACAAATTGGTACTTGTTTTAAGAAAGACCCATTACCTTTTCATGTTTTTTCCCGTCAATTTTATTTAAATGCATACTGAAGTATAAGTACGAGTGGTTACTGTTATTAATAAGAGGATACTTGCTGGTTGGTATTTTTAATAATGTTCTTGTCTCTAAGTCGATATTATAATTATAAATTACCAAGACAGTTGATTGTTTTTCACACATTTCTTTATATGCTAATGAACGATAAATTTATTAAAGGGTAACCTTTTAATTAACTGATTAATTCATTTTTTATCAATTTGTTATGAAATGTTTTAAATAAAAATACAAATCGTACAAATATTTACACATTTAAACGAGCAAAGAATGAGTAAATATAACAATTCCTAAATACTGGGTCTACAAGATCCTTTAAGTATGTAGGTGTTTGCTTATTTCCTTGCGTACATCACAAAACAAATAGTATTACTCACTGCTTTTTTATTTTAGCCTATACTGTTTTACACTACAAATTTAATTAGAATATTTACTATAAATAAAACATAAATAGAATCTACGGATAGATAGGAAATTCTTTAATGTAATTAAGGACTTAAATACTAAGCGACCTTCTATTTTTTTTCAAGGCAAGACAAGGAAAACTACCGTCGACCTTATTTTTAATTTGAAATTTTGTATCGTAAGGGAAAAAATAACTACTTATTTGGTTTTTTTGTACCTACCTATACATACATAAACTAGGTTGTCAATCGAAAACAATTATAATTGGAATAATTGAAATTCTATTAGTATTAATATCCATTTGTCATATCATCGGGTTACTGAAAAAACCAGATAACTCCCAAAACACTGTTTTAAGTACCTAATTTGAATTTGTAACTTATTTTCATTGGGTCTATTTACTAAAAATGGACTTATACTATTTATGTTGGGCTGGACATTGATTGGTTTAACCGATTCGGTTATGTTCGTAGTTGAATTGTCCTTATAGAAACAATTATAAGTTAAAAAATGTACTTAAGTCAAAAAATTAATGGAGTTTTCTTATTATTACAGTAACCAGACAATATGAGGTATTATGTTAAATTCCCAGAATTTCCAACTCATTGTAACGTAAATAGCCAGAAATATGTTTCAGTCACTAAGAAATGTAATTTTTGTGGGAAATATTATATTTTATATATTATATTTTACAATTTTTATACATACCTGATATGTCATACCACAATCCACACACGGTTTGTTCTATCTCTCTTCGCGCATACTAACATGTGGTTATGATAAATTAACCTTAAAATTAAAATTTGACAGTTTGATGACAGCCCTGATAGAATAGGGTATATTTTTACCAAAAGAGGAGTAAAATGGTTGTTCATTAAGGCCTGTATAAACAGCACCATAGAGAAACAGCACAAACCCAATGCACAAGAATTGTAAACCGCATAAAAATGTCCGCCGTCAGGTTCTGTACCATGTCGCAGTGATTTTTAGTATGCGCGAAACGAAATGGAACAGACCTTGTTGTGTAGATTGTGAAACATACAAAAATAATTTGTCAACAATCATTAATAAATTGATTTATAAATTTTTTACGTGTTTTTCATAAGACTCCAACTGTTTGCTGTTCTTAAACATTGTCCTTTGTATCCTTTGGATTGGAGTAAATTAGAAAGATAATTCTACCGAAAATTGAAATTTGTTCCTAATTACGGTTGCGCCGTAGATGTTATTTGGAGCATGTTTGAAACTAAAGTGTAAGAGTTCCGTTACCTTTGTAAAAATCGTCTCTTAAATTAAGAAGATCTTTTTTCTGAAAATGTTTCCTGAATGAGTATACGGTTGCGCCGTGGATATTATTTGGAGCAAGATTCGTATCGTGTTAAATATCAAATTGCTTCTGTCAAAGAGACAAAATTTTCGTACTTAGGCTTTTGCGAAAAGGTGGAAAAAAGTTATGGAAATGGCTCTAAATGGCCCTCTTTAAAAAAAATGGACGAAAGGTGTTTTGTTTAATAAAAAAACAAATAATTAAGTTAGGAAATGTCTACCGCGATGAAAGAAGGTGAAACAAAATATATTTTTATTATTGTGTTAATTATTCCTTGTTTTGTTAAGGGGAATAGTATAATTCAGAAATCGAAAGAAACAAATGGTGGATTCTGTCCGGATGATTTGGAAACGTCCTCCGAAGAAAAAACTCCGCCAAATACCCAGTGAAATGGAATTTTTCACCTCTCGCCAAGATATTTCTACGTTTTAAGTGTGTCACACACCACAATCGGACATGATTGTAGTGCCAGGCAGGATTTTATCTTGGATTATTCTGAGCAATGTGTTGTATTGTCTTCGATCTGGGACTGGGACCATAAATAACTTTTAAGTTCTAAATTTCGTTTGAATCCACCGAAGACCCATTGTCGCTTAATAATTCTACCCCAATTTTACTTATATTTAATGGGCTGTTCCAATACAATCAAGCAAGGGTACTAAGTAACAAGCAGTATTGAATCAAATATATTCTTTGCCACATCAGTTGATCTTCAATGATCGCCAATGATCATTGTCCGTTTTTATGTTTAGTTACATTTATGTGTAGTTAAATTTATGTATAATTAAATACAATTTAAACACCCATTGTGTTTTTAATTAACTTCGAGCAACAATACGCAACTTTTTTTGTCCTTAAAACAACAACACACAACATTTGGTTAAGGACGGACGAGAACGCCCAATTGCCTACGCAAGCCGAACCCTGAGTTCTACGGAACAAAGATAACCTTAAATGGACAAAGTAGCACTTGCCATAGTTTGGGCAGTACAAAAGTTTTTCTTCTACCTGTACGCCCGACATTTTACACTTTTCACTGACTATTTCCCTCGTCTTAATTTCTACCAATCACAAACGCGCAATTTTGAATTCAAATTGTTTCTAGGTGCAAAAACTGTATGACAGCACCTTTCAGCAGTTTTTTCGAATTTACCCGCGGCACACCTGAAAGTCCCACCACGTGACTACGTACGGAACGCAGTCTATTAAAAATTTGGCATTAAAGGCTTTTCAGGTTATGTATCTTTCAAAGTATAGTCAACGAAAGAAATATTATTTATACTTTTACGCTTATGTTTAAGCATTAAAAGTTTATTGTATCACAATAACAATGGTTGGTTTAAGAATTTAGGAATATAAATACTGCATTTAATAAAATCCCAAAGTGTATGGTGCCAAATAAGTAATATTTTGTGTATTTGGTCTTCATATCTGGTTTTCTTTAAAATAATAATAATAATAATTCATTTATTTGCCCAACGGAGTAAAACTCCAATAACAGAACAAAAAATAAAATTAAAGTTTACATTTCATTGACTAAAAATAAAACTAATACTAAACTACAAAAAAATTAAAAATAAGTCTTTGCCACCCTAATAGTATCATTTAAACTAGTAAAAAACAAATCACAGTCATGACTAATACAGTTATAATTTCTTGACATGGTAAACACTGGTGATTTAATTAAGGTTATTGTTCGTGCACTGTCAGAGTAGAACATATCACTAGATCGAGAATTAGATCTGGGTACATGAATATTAAATAGAAATAAAATATTGGCCGAATCAATTTGGTGAACGTGTTAAAAAGCTTAAATAAGAATTTAAGACCGGAACAAGCTCTCCTGCATTGTAGGGAATCCATATTAAAGCGATCTAACAAAAGTTGATGATTTATACCTCTAGCGGGGTAAATGTTATCTAAATGAAAAGCGAGTAATTTAAGAAATTTACGCTGAACATTTTCGAGCATGTCAATATAATTTTTATAGTAGGGACTCCATACAATGGAACAATAGTTTAGTTTTGATCGAACGATGCAAAAATATAAAGATATCAAAGCGAATTGATTTGAAAAAACCGATAGAGTTTCTGCTAATAAAACCTAATAACTTGAAACTACTAGAAACAACACGATTGACATGCTCAGTAAATGACAACTTGCTATCAAAAGTAACGCCCAAATCATCAACACATTGAGTTAGCTGTAAGTTAACGTTATTAATTTTATAATTAAAAGTAACTTTTGTTCTCTTTAGAGTATAGGAACAGTATTTGCGTTTTTTAATATTAAGTTTGAATTTGTTGGAAATGCACCAATCATACACTTGATTTAGCTCAGTTTGTAGAGAGAGGCAATCATTCATTGAATCAACTTTGGCAAATAATTTTAGGTCATCAGCAAAAACTAAATGTTGGCAATTAATTGCCAATGACAAATCGTTAATAAAAATATTAAACAATAAGGGCTCTAGATTAGAGCCTTGAGGGACTCCAGAAGTCGACACAAAGAAATCAGACCTAAAGCCATTGTAGGTTACAAAGAGCTTACGGTTAACAAGGTAGGAATGCATAAGGGATACTAGAGAGCAACTTAGGCCAATTGATGATAGTTTGATTAATAATAATTCATGATCCACCTTGTCAAAAGCCTTGGAAAAGTCCGTGTAGATGACATCCACTTGGCCTCTGTTATCAATATTATTAGAGACATATTGAGTGAACTCGATTAGATTAGTAACAGTGGAGCGCTTATGCATAAAACCATGTTGGTGAGGTGAAATGGATTGACAAACGCCATTGTAGATGCACGCATACAGGGTCTTCTCAAAGACCTTAGACAAGTTGGACAGAATAGCTATAGTTCTGTAATTACCTATGTCACTGGGATCACCATTCTTAAATATTGGAGAAATTTTAGTGATCTTCCAAATTTCGGGAAATTTTGTTGTTTTAAGAATAAGATTAAAAATAGTGTGAAGTGGTTTAATCAAGATCTGCGCACAATCTTTTATAAAAAAGCTAGGAATGTGATCATGACCAGAGCATGAATTATTTTTTAAAAGTTTAATGGATTTTAAAATGTCATCTTTATTAAAAGAATTTAAAGCTATACAATCCGGACTAGACATATACGTAGGTAAATTAGCAG